AATTTCTCCTGTCGCAGGAGACTCGTTTCTCACCAAGAAGAACCCAAGTGCCAGATATATGCCGATGACAACAAACTCTTCAATGACAGCCATGGCCACGTAGACGCCCAGACCGCCACTGACCATAGAAAACATCTTACTGCGCAAAAAGGTCCCCAGAATCGAATAAATGATTCGAGTCAATAGAAAAGGCCATGCCAAAAATATCGCGACAAGCAAGCGTCGCTCGATATGAGGGACTTGGCTGAGGGGCGTGAAAGCTTGTCGGGAGACGACTATGACAGCCGTGATTGCAATGAAGCCAGCAAAGTATAGCAGTATAGATGCTGTTGTGATGGCCTGGGGCTGGTATGTGCCGTCTGAGGAGTAGCTCATACTCGTGCCACCAACGATGCTTAGGATTAGGCCGACAAATAATACGGCCTGGATAGTTCTGAAGTGCTTAGTATTGAGTGAAGAGCCTCTGGTTGCCTTCACCCCGTCAAAGCTGTCAAGGTGTGAGCTTCCTGAGATGTATCGTTTTCGGGGTCAATTACAGTCTTGAAACCACTCCGAGCGTTGCCAGGAGTAATGGCGAAATAGCAACCCCGTTGAGAATAAGGGCAGCTTGCACCAAGCCAACAGACGAGTTGTCGTACGTGGCTAATTGAATGATAGAACCAAGAAATCGAGCAAAGCAGAATATGACGGTATATATCCAGCCAGCGGAGCGATTGAATCCAAATTTGAAAGAAATGTAGGCTGCGAGTAATAGACTTGGGCCGTAGATAGCCACCTCTAATACAGAGACCCCTCCTCTACCGTCAAAAGGGCGGCCCATTATTGTGCAAGATTTTGGGAGAGTCAGAAGAGGAGAAAAGTAATTAGTTTGGCTTCAACAGGCTTTATGATCCATTTTGAGCCACCATATTGAAGAGCTCATGTTGGTCTTTATACGCCAAGGCAGCCATAGACCGCAGAGCAGGACTGATGAAGAGGCCCCCGCAGCTCGCACTCGCTACAGTCGACCGGCACTGATATCCGACCATTACCTGAAATCGTAATCAAAGTGGAGGGATGTATTGCAAAAAAACCTATATCTTGATACCGCAGCAAATGGGTCTCGATTTGCTGCCATTGCCGTGTAAGTGCTTCTCAACAACCCCGGCTCAGCTGAAGTCTTCGCCGAATGTAGTGGGCTTCACGACACCAAGAAGGCCTCCCGCGTACCGCCGTAGAGAGGTTGGAATGATTTGTTCAAAGTCGTGTTTGCAGGGATGAAATATGGAGCAATACGGGCGGGTCTTCGTTCACAAAGACTCGAGATGTTCATTAATGCTCTGCATAAATACGAGACTAAACCAAATGGGGTGGGCGTCTCGATGTGGAACCCAGGTTGTGAAAGAGCCGGGATGTTGGAGCCAACGCCGTTCTTCCGACGCTTTTCGGCGTAGCAACGGCCCCCAAACACAGCCACCAACAAGAAAGAAAGCACTGACGCACCGCCATTTGGTCTGTCTGCTTCGACATTATCTCCAGTCCCCGCGCCGAGTCAAGGAGAACATTCATCGGTGAGGGACTTTCGACCGGCGGACCACAGTCCCCCACGGCCAGTTGCCCAAACTCAGATTATATTGTCTGGCCAGGTCCCGATCATGGTCTTCTCCGGCCGGCCATCAGACGCGTGCTACCCCTGTCGCAAGGGAAGACTCCGGGTTCGTACTCCATCCCCCATCATTTCCCGTCCAAACCCCCCCTTTCGCCTACTGGTCCGCTCGTATCCTCGGGCTTCAACCGGTCAGGTCAGCCCTACGATGGTGGCAACGCACCACTTCCGCAGTGCGCATCGCCGCACTTCGCACATAACCGACCGAGAGACGCAAAGAGGGCCAAGGCTAACGTTGTTCCTTTTTCGTTCCCGTTCCGCAGTGTGATCGGATCCAGCCCGGATGTACTCAGTGCTCCCGCAAGAACATCACCTGCCCCGGCTACAGGGATCTTTCAGACTTCTTATTTCGGGATGAGACAGCGAACGCCGCCTTGAAGGTACAGAACCGGAAGCCGAGAAGGCGCCACGAGGCCAAGGTTCGGCCGCAGCCGTCGGCGGATGCGTCGTCCTCTCAACTGAAACTTCCTCAACGGCAACATGCAGAGGCGGTCGCGTCGACGTCGGCGGCGGGGGCGGGCGCGAAAGCGGCCGGCGCCGCTCCCCATGCCGCTCGGAAGATGAATACCGCTTTCAGATCGCCCGCAGATCCCTCCTCCGAGGTTGATGTATCTGTAGTTCGTTATCGGAATGTTTCAACCCCTATCGAAGACCTTGCCCGCACATATTTCATGGTCGAATACATCGCATCTTCGCCTTTCGAGTACCTACCTAAACTGTATCCCCACGGGTTGAATGAGCAAAATGCCATGTCGGCCGCCATAATGGCCGCCTCCTTCGCTAGCCTTGCCCTCAAGTGCTCCGATGGGAATCTCATGAAGCAAGCGCGAATGCACTACGCCAAAGCACTCTGCCAAACCAACAAATGTCTCAGTTTCACAGACCTTGCCGTCCAGGACTCAACGCTCGCTGCCGTTCTTCTACTGGGCCTTTTCGAGGCAATTGTCTTCACAGGCCAGCAGTCTCTCGACAGCTGGAACGCCCACACCGTCGGGGCCGTGGAGCTTCTCCGCCTGCGTGGACCCAAGCAGCTGGAGACGCCTCTCGGGCGCACCCTCTTCCTCCACTCAAGTGGCAACATCCGGACTAGCTGTGCGCATACCAAGAGAGCGGTTCCTCCTCGACTCCTGCAGCTTTTTGAGAGTGCGAAGCCGATGCTGGATCTCAGTGATCCGTTTCTCATGACAGCTCCGATTGTCGACCGAGTGGCTAGTTTGAGGTCAAGGATAGAGCGCGTCCATGACCAAAACAGACGAGACCTAGTATGGGAGGCACTGGATCTGGACATCGAGACTTTGAGGCTTGGTCAAGGTGTTGCAGAGGACTGGAAGTTTACAGCGAGGCTTCCGGGGCAGAGTTCACGCTTGACGTACAAGGGCATTTCGCTTCGGTACCCGTCTCTGCGAGCTCTTCGATATTGGAACGCCCTTCGGATCATCCGCATGTTCCTTAACGATCTTGTCTGGGTGCAGTCTTCCAAGGTTCTCCAGCAGGGCCCTGACCTGGACGATGAGACCGACTATGAGGAGCTTCAGACGTCTGCCAAGAGGAATATGTCGACGCTCGTGGTCGAGGTACTCGCCAGTTGCGGTGAGTATCTCGAGCCGGCCGAAGAAAGGTTCTCTGTTTCAGCCCGCTGCTTGATCTGGCCGCTGTCAGTCATCGCTGAAGTCTCCATCACGCCGCCCGATGCGCGCCAGTTTGCGACCGACTGTCTTGAACGGCTTGGACGGGACTGCCGAATCCCAAAAGCTGCTGACATGACGACGAGCTTGCTGTCAATTCAAGGAGCTGACTGGTATGTACCAATTTAGCCGAGCTGCACGTCGCCCTTGTTGAGTTTTCACCCAGGCTTCACTTGTATCACCTTGCATAACATTCAAGCATCATTGCATTTTTCTCTGGTAGTTGAAGTCATCTCACACCTTCATTAGAACGGTCTACAGCGATAAACAGCTTCGAGCTGACATATTTACATCTATCCTCTCCCAACGTCGACCTAGCTTGAGGCACAACCGGGGCAGCCTCTATTCCCAGCTCACAGCTCTCGACTCCACCTCCCCTGGATCACTACCTTAGTATATGCGCACTCGTTATGGCTAATGTCAGGCTTTGGGTTGAGCTGTTTGAGGTATCGGAGGCACTGCGCTCCCGTACACGTGTCCACCGGACGCATTGTGATGCATAACCATGCTGTGGTCAGGTGCGGGATACTTCTCACCGACAGCATTCCTGCGCTTCTTCTTGATCTGGAAGTAAAGCGTCAAGCCAGCTATGAGCAAGCTAGGTATTCCGACGCCCAAGCTCGCGGCGAGTGCGACAATATCTGACCAGCTCAGCCCTCCGCTATCCGCCGCTGCCGATGGCTGTTGTGCTTCGGCAGACGACGTGCTGCTCGAGCCGAGCCTCGAGGTCTGCGTTGCCTGCCCATTACTCGAGGCACCTGCGCCGTTACTAGCCGTGGTCTTCAAGGACGTTCGCTCGCTCGTCAGAGTTGCTGGCGCACTCAGTGCGTTGGCTGCTTGCCCGTTGGCGGTCGCGCAGTACGAGTCATACAGATCCAGCATGCTTGTCAGATCGACTGACCAGTTCTCGACTTTGCTGCATCCCCTGCTGACGCACGATGAGATGTATGAGGTGGCAGAGCTACCCAGCCCAGTGTTGCAGTAGCAGCCGTTGATGGATTGGCAACCGCATTGCAAAGCAACCCCGAGGTCTTGATACCCGCCAACCCCGCAAGGATAGGCGCCATTGTACACGAGGCAGCCAGCTGCGCAGGCTCGCGCAGTCGAGTATGCAATTTCCGAAAAGATGCTGACCCTTGCGAGGGCACCTGTGGTGGTTGCGGCCAAGGTGAGGGGAGCCAGTAAGAGGAGACTAGCCATCGTCAAGGGTGCCGACGATGGTACTCGAGGGCTTTCCCGTGGAACCATGATCGGCGATTCTGCTGCGGGAGTTTCTTGGACTGTTCTCGACAGTCAAATGGAGGGTTCAGGCGCAATGTGGTGGGAATGTTGGGTATTCTTGGAGTTTTGAGTTGACAGGAGGGCTATCGTGTTCCTCAAGGGGCACCTAAGGTCCTCAACCGTCGCGGTCTCTATATCAAATGGAAGATTCAGCGCCATCTTCGTGCCAATTTGTTTGTCTCTATAGGGGACCAATGTGATTAAAGAAAACCCAAATAGCATGTGAGGGGCTGAATGCTGGCGATCGTGGCGACACTAGGCCGTTTGGGGCCGAAATCCGACAGCCCGCAGCGAGTCGAGAAGGACAGCTGAAGGCTTGACATGACCATCAGAGTACGTCTTGGCCGTCTGAAGAGACAAAGGGTTATGGTAATCTTTGGGCGGGCTGTTCAAAGTCCCAGGCCAGGCTCGAACTGGAGATCCAACGGCATGGCGTCGAGTGTGTTTGCAAGCTCCAACGCCGATGCCATCGGCCAGTCCCAAACATTCCATTGCAACTGGTCAATTACCGGTGGTTGGGCTTCTTTCGACGAGAATGTCTTTGTTTGGAGCGTGTCCAGGACGTCGGCGCATTGTGTAATGTAGCCGTTGGCATCGTCCGCTCTCAGGTGGCGCAAGGTCGTCGCGCAGGTCCTGACTAAATCCTCGTCCTCTTCGTCCGTCGAAATTGGCTGACCCTTCCATCTAGCGAAGAGAATAGTCAGCCCGGCTTGCCAAAGCATGTGCATACCATTTGGGTAAAGGTGCGCGATGATGACGGCGTCCAATCTTCGAGGGGTGGTCTCGTCGCCAGATCCTATCGCAAATAGACGGATGAGCTCCGCAGAGGCACGGCCACAAGCGATGAGAGAGACCGAAAACTGCGGGTCAGACGTTGTGAAGGCCAATGCTGGTCGGTGAATATGAACCGTTGCGTTGCAGAAGGCGGCGCGCAGGAAGGCGACTTCAAACGTGTCAATGTTGACTGCTGGAAGCAGGTCTCCCCCATCGTCGTCGGCATCGGTCAGTTTCTCAGTCGGCAACATCCGCTCCCACATAGTGAGCTCTGCTTGCAATTGCGTGATCTTGGCTACGCCACCGCGTCGACGAGTTGTCGTGTACAGCTTTTCCAGAGCTTCTCCGACAATGACTGCGAGCTTGAACATGCACAAGGCCGTGTCAACCTGGGATCGCTCACCCGGAAGAGGGAAGGCAACACTTTCGCGTGATACTTGGTCATGGTCTACGCGTGAAGGAAGATCGGTGTCCACGTCTTGGTCTCGTATTAGTCGCGGCATTCCATGATAGGCACTCGAGAATCTGACGGAGGTGTTAGCAATTGGCTAAGATGAGTGGGAGAGGGCTACCAACGCGTCGAGAGAGTACTGGCACCACCAGACGCGGCGTCGCAGCTCTGTCTCTAAAGGATCGAATTTAAATCGCTGAGAGTGTCGATGGAGTCCGAGGTTCTGCGCCATGCGTGTTGCCATGCCACCGAGTTGAGATGCGACTGAGTACCGGGACGAAAGTTGGAGGTAAATCTGAGCAATCTCTAGTCCCTGTAGCGTTGGTAACGAGGGTCTCTCATGCAGCTTGCTCGTCAGAGTTGCAGACATGTGGTAGTACTTCTCGGACAAGCATAGGAAGTGCTCGTGGGCCTGAGTGCAAGTCCCCGGAAGACCCAGAGTTCCCAAAGCCAGAAGCCCTAGAACCTGGTGCAGAATACTGAGATCAGCATTCTCCGGATCGTCTCGAAGTCTATGAAATGCTTCTAGAGTGGAATGCTTGTGTACGATGGGATAAAGCGGTGTCCAGCGATCAATTGTGGCCTCGAGGATATCGGCAGCGTTGCGAGGGAACTGAGCAACCATCGCACCAATCAAGTGCGCCTCGGAGTCTTTCGGCGGGTTACCCCAGATGTTGTGTAAGTATAGGCTGTACACACTGCTTGGGAACGTGTCGGTGTGTATCCGGAGCATCTGCAACTGTTGTTCAGCTTGACTGATGAAGTGAACCCCAGTCGAAGACCCGGCGAACATGGCGATCTGATCATCGTTGGAGACCAGTCGGCCCATGTGGCCGATCACAGGCTCAGGGCCCTGTCTTGACCTCACGATCGATATCATGTCTGCACGACGTGGCCATGTTGATGTCGATCTGTCGGAACCATTCGATATTAAAACGCTTGGCTGGGATTGCCCAACCATGCGCGATTGTGAAGGTTCTGTTGGATTCAAAGTCGAGTCCACCACACCGGCCGCTGAGTCGGGGGTTCTCACCGGAGCCGACCCGCTCCGTCTTTCATCAACGACTTCATTCTCGTAGTAACTTGAAAGCCATCAGCATGGATTCTGCAGCTAGAAAAAGCTGGTCCTTAGGTACCTTTTTCTTTTTCGGTTGCGCTTCAGCTTGGTCGATACCACACAGGCGACACCGCCCACAGTGCAGGGCGTGCACTGCAGGTGGATGCGTCAGTTAAATCGACAGATGGCTCTCGGGTTGCTGCAGCGGTCCGCGGGAATAGCTCACCTTCTCCCCATCCCCATAGCAGCGGATTTTTCGTCTGCAAGTGTGAAGGTATGTCAGCGGGTTTGGTTCCAATGGCCATGGGCGCTATTTCAATGAAAGACGCATTCAACAGTTGGTCCAATACATACCGCCGACAGCGGTCACTGCGGTGGTACAAGTCAGCAGACGGTAAATTTCTCAAGCGGCGGAGCTCTCACCAAACTTGTCCAGATTGCGCTCCGCCCGGGGTTTCCTGTCCATTCATGCTACCGGCGCCGTCGACATCATCAGTCTAAGGAGTCTCAAACTCTTTCAAGTCCATATGCTTGCGACAGTGCATGAGAGAGTCGCGCGCGCATGAGCCGTCGGTGATGATGCGATGTTGTGGAGAAGATTCAGGATGCGCCGCCCACAGCGGAAATTCTGCAGTGGTGTTCCCGCATGACTCGGTTAGTTGCATGCTGCTGGGTGACCCAACACAGCACATCCCGCTTAAGAGTGCCATTCCCCGTTGAGCAACGTCATAATAGTCCATATCATAGTCCAAACGGACTCTTCATCTTTTCAAGTTTAGTGGGAAAGAAATTCGCATTTATGTGCAAGGAATCTGTTGAGCGTTTCCAAGAACGATAAGAGAATCGCCAAGTACGTAGGGAAATACAGGGGTGTGAGAGACGCAACGCTAGGCGCCCGTCCAAAGAAAGGACGAGACTATCTTTTCAAACCCCGAGGTTTCCATGGATGAATGGAACAATCCAAAACGTTTCTCGAGATCTTTCAAATGTAGTTCTAGCCTCTGAATTGTGTGGCAGAACTCGGTCTCAAGACGCGAACACGTTTATGGTGTGAACACCATTGGACGATAAGACAACTAATGGATATGGATTCTACTTTGTTATACGCCTTCACCATGAATTGATGCTCACTTTTTTTACTTCCAATCTCCCTTCCAACTAACTAATGTGTGCCATTTGTGGCGTTTCCATTGCCATTGACTTGAACAGTCTTCTGTCCCAGGAGCTCGTCAAGCATCAGTTGACAGCATCCCAAGTACTTGGTGGGATCGCACAGCTTGGAGAGATCCGTTGAGGCAAGGTGTGCTGTGACTTGTGATGACTTCTCCAAAGCCTCTTGCAAGGAAATACTGTTCTCATGAGCCTCGACACAGGCCTTGTAGACAATCTCATGTGCCTCTTGGCGACCAGTGTACTTAGCCAGGTCCATCATCACAGCTTCAGCGACGATCAAACCACGCGTAGACTTCAGGTTGGCCAACATGGCATCCTTGTTGACTTGCAGGCCAGAAAGAGCGAACTTAGCCTGGTGAAGGGAACCAACAATGGAGATGAATGCAGTGGGAATGGCAGCCCACTCCAAGTGCCAAGGGCCAGATGCTCTCTCAAAATCGGAGACCATGCCGTCCAGTACCAGGCCAGCCTGGGCACGGAGAATCTTGGACTGCGCGAGGATGACCTCGCTGGAGATGGGGTTGCGCTTCTGAGGCATGGTGGAGGACGCGCCACGGTGAGGAACGTAGGGCTCTGCAACCTGGAGAGAGTCATGTTAGTATGGAACCTATCGAAAATGACGTCATAATAGACATACCTCGTTCAGCTCATTTGAGGACATGACAATCAAGTCAAGAGCAATCTTGCCCAAGCTGCCGCCAACCAGGGCAAGGTAGTTGATGATTTCCGCAACAGTGTCGCGCGCGACGTGCCAGGTGATAACCGGGTCCTGGAGCTCAAGAATGGTCGCCAAACGCTTGCGCACGCGGATACCGCTGTCAGAGGTACCCAAAGAAGCGAGAGTTCCAGCAGCACCGCCGAATTGAACAAGGAGGCTGCTCTCCTTGATCTGCTCGAGACGCTTGACGTGACGGCGGAAGCCAGCAAGCCAGACGGCGCACTTATATCCGAAGGTGATGGGGAGGGCGTGCTGCAAGTGGGTTCTGCCGGCCATCGGCACGTCGCGGTAGGCGGCGGACATATTTTCGAGGGTGGAGGTGACCTTGCGGAGGAGGCGCTCGACGATCTCAAGACCATGCTTCATCTGCAAAACTGAGGCAAGGTCCATGATATCTTGGGTCGTCGCACCCCAGTGGATGTATCCGGCTGAGAAGACTTTGTGTTAGCTCCCGCATACAACACCCAACCGAGCTCACTGGCCGACTTACAGGTCTCCTCGGGCACCCATTTTGACATCTGCTCAACCAAGGGAAGAACTGGGTAGCCAACAATCTCAGTGCGGGCGGCAAGCAACTGCCAGTCAATCTTGGAGACGTCGCAGTGCTCTCTGAGAACAGCAGCCGTACCAGAAGGCACGATGCCCTCAGCTTCCTCGGCCTCAGCCAGAGCGCACTCGGCCTTGATCAGGTTGGCAACATAAGATCTCTCGGAGAAAGCTTGACGAGCCTCCTCGGTACCGAAGATGTTGCCGAACAACGTGGAGTCGAAGACAGTAGCGGCGGACATGGTGAAGGACTGGTTTGAGATGAAGGTCTTGGTATTGCTGTTGGTTCTGCAGCAAGGGATGTTTGTGGAGAAAGCCAACAGAAGAGACTCGTTCGTTTTCAGAAGGAAGGACGCGGCGGTTCAAATGTCCCAATGACATTCAAGTGTTCCCCTCGAACACTTTTATTTTTTCCCAGGACGGAATCCTTCTGCCAGCTCCGGTCTTACACCGAACCCCGCGGTGGGGCACGGGATAACGCGATAACGGGGGGCCGGAGGGCGGGATAAGCACGGCGGCCAACCACACACGGAGTAGCGGAGTAGCGGCGTAACGGCGTAGCACGGGCCAAGGCCCGGCGAACTGGTCTTGGCCCCGTACGATCCCCAGCCCCGGGTCTGCTGCCACCCACCGCAAACGTGGGATAAACTCATTGCGGGGAATCTGGAGTTCTGGGGGTTAGTGTGCTTAGTGTGGTCGAACCATCCCCGCAAACCCGGGGCTCGATTCGACAGGTAAATGTCTGGAGGTATAATTATGGCCATGTCTCTCCTTGGTTTCTTCTGTTTTTCTCCAAGAGATCAGCTCGCCTGTTTTGTTCTCTCATTTTTCTTATTGACAAAGAATCTGGCCTCCGAGACTCTACCTTTGTCACCATGTCGACCACTTTGGACCATAAGCCTGGCGGCCCCCTTGAAATCGAACATGACGAAAAGTCGGTCAAGGGGGAGGCTGTTGTCTCTGGAGACTACTCTGGCGCAGCTGAGAAGACCGATCCTGTCGAAATAGCACTTGTCCGAAAGCTTGACAGAAGAATCATGGTGAGTCTGGTAGCTCAACCATCAGACGATCTAGCGCTAACATTCTGCAAGCCAATTCTCTGGGCCATGTACTTCTTGAACTACGTATGTCGATCGTCTTGTGCCGTTCCACTAGACCATTCTGCTAACATTCGTCCCAACAGCTCGACCGAAACGCCCTGCCCCAAGCTCGTCTGAACACCCTCGAAGAGGACCTCAACCTCAAAGGTGTCGAATACAACACTGCCATCTCCATCCTCTTTGTCGGCTATCTTCTAATGCAAGGTCAGTCACCACCGAAGACTTTTGTACCAGCAACATAGTTGACCCGGAGCAGTCCCTTCAAACATGTTCTTGACTCGGACAAAGCCGTCCGCGTATATGTCAATCTGCATGATTGGCTGGGCGGCCATCTCTGCTGCTACCGCAGGCGTCAAGAATTATTCTGGACTCGTCGCATGTCGGTTCTTCCTTGGTTTTGTCGAAGCAGTAAGTTTTTGTCACGAAGGAGCAAAGTTCCGTCCATACTGACAACTGCATAGCCATTCTACCCCGGCGCGTTGTACATGTTGTCAATCTTCTACACCCGAAAGGAGCTAGCGACTCGAATTTCACTTCTCTACACAGGCCAGGTGGTCAGCACTGGTTGCTCAGGCCTGATCGCTGCTGCTACATTCGCAACACTTGATAAGGTCAAGGGAATTGCTGGATGGCAATGGTACGAGTCTTCGCTCCATTCATAGCAAAGCATATACTTACAGCACATTTGAAGGCTCTTCATCATCGAAGGCTCCGTCACTGCCTTGGTGGCCATCTTTGGCTTTTTCCTTCTCCCCGACGACCCCTCCGAGACGCGCTGGCTTACCGAGGAAGAGCGCAAGCTCGCTGTTGAGCGCATCCGTCGTGACACTGTCGGTCATCAAGAAAGAGGATCGACTTGGGAGGGTCTTAAGCAAGCTTGCAAAGATCCGAAGACCTGGCTCTTTTGCCTCATGCAGAACTTGCACATTTCGGCGTGTTCTTTCAACAACTTCTTCCCTACCATCGTCCGCAGCATGTAAGTTACTCGACACAAGACAGAAGCTTCTCATTGACGAAGATGATGCTTACACCTTTGCTAGGGGCTTCCGATCTACTACCGCTCTTCTGCTCACAGGTAAGCCTTTATTTCCTGCTGAGTTGGATTACGGGACTGACAAACAACAGCGCCACCTTACTTCGTATCTGGCTTTCTAGGAATTCCCTTTGCATGGTCTAGCGGCAGGTTCAACGAGAGGACTTGGCACATTACTGCTGGCCTAAGCCTGGCTATTGTTGGTTTTGCCATGACCTGCGGCAGCCAGAACAATGCCGTTCGCTACACGGCCACCTTTCTCTACGCAACGGGAGCTTACAGTGAGTCATTGTGTGGTTTCCTCCAGAATTTCACCGCTAACATGGTATCAGGTGTTGGTTCTGTAATCCTCGGTTGGGTCAGCAACACGCTTTCTCAAACTCCTGAGAAGAAAGCCGTGGCTTATTCACTGGTCAACGTCACTGCTAACCTCGCATACATCTACTGTGCTTATCTTTGGCCCAGCTCTGACGGGCCTAAGTACATGATGGGCTTCTCAAGCATGATCGCTTTTGCCGCTACCAGCATCATGTGCGCCTGGGCTATGCGCGTATGGCTGATCCGGGTCAACAAGAAGATCCGGGAGAGTGAGGATGAGAACGTCAAGCTTTACGCCTACTAGAAGTTCGGTATGAAGCATCAGAGGAATGGCTTTGGGATTAATGTCGCTGTGTCTCCTCTTGCAGTTGAGTTACGACTTTTCAAATCTGGGGGTTCTAAGTAGATGCTCGTTCAACCACTCATTGCTTGAATGAGAAGAATAACTGCCGCATCCGAGAGTTATGGTGGTCGGTCAAAGACTTCCATGGATTTCAATGACTTCATGGGAAGATGTGTTGGCGAACTCTTTGATTCAAGCCAGCAGTCCAATTAAAGCATCATAGTGTGCCCGGCGACGCCACTCCCAACTTCACGTTCCTAAAGTCAGTGGTTGGGGAAAGTGCAAACCGTTATCATCGGGCAAGATTCCAAACTTGGTACCACAGCGTCTTGAGTCCAAATATGAATATAGATTCCCCTCAGTGGCGCTGGACGATGATTTTCCTCAAGTTTTAATCAATTTATCCCCCTTGCGTTTACGCGTACCTTCGCTTTTCCGTGTGTCTGACTGGTGCGGCAGTCACTTTATTGGTTTTTAAATGCGACCTCGGGCCATATCTAGGTGCATGCCGGGACTTCGAAAAGGGGTGCTAGATCTGCATGGTCGGTTGTCACCCCCGCTTGACAGAAATCCCGAACCTGGATAATATGAAGCTTATGTCGGCCAAGCTAGCCGGTAGTGTAGCTGTCAAATGCACCTGCAATCTATGCGCAAACAGTGGCGCGCATATATCGGGCGAGAGGAACTCCGGAGCCGTCCGTGTGGATTTGAGAAAGAGAAAGGTACCTATTTGAGAGCTCCCGGATGGTTAGACGGGACGATAGAGCTTCGATATTACCACCTGCATGGGTAGAGATATCCTTATGATCGCGAGCTCAAACAGCGGTAATGTTTTGTTTGGCAACGCCGGTCGAGCATTTTCTGAATTTGTCAGTCAAATGAATGGTAATGAAGTACACTTGGAACTGAAAAGCTTGAGGAGATGACTTGCTTTCGGAACTGGTCCGCTACCAAAGCTTGTTGGCTTGGCGCTCTGCACGTCTGGCACAACAGAGCCCCTCAAATTTCCAGTCATCAATCGCTGCCATGCCCATGTCATGTCCTCTAGAAAACACAGAAAGTACGGCTGTCTACAGCCACCGACAATTTCTCCACGCGAGCGAGTGAGGGCCGGTGAATGCCGGGGCAGTTGAAGGCTCTCACAATGACGGTTGATTACGCCTTTCTTAAGAGTACATACGTCTTGGAAACTTGTCGTGTCCCCTTGCAGACGTATGCACCTGATCGATCCAAATTTGACCACTTTGAGGTTCGGATCGTTGTCACCGTAGCTTCCATATGGCAGTTCGGTGTCCGGTCCCGTGCGACGATCCTTCGCTGCTCCACCCTCGGACTAGAGTCGCTTCAGGTCCGATGGAGATCGGCCGAGAGGGTCAACGTTAAGCTTAACCTTCTTTTGACAGGTGGCGACGAAGTGTTTGCCCGAGTTGGGACGGAACATGGTTGCTCAAGAGCGAAAGCGAGGTGCAAGCAGCGGGAAATTCCATCCAACAGCATCGTTGGTTCTCAATCCCGTGCTCCTTTCATTTGATTGAATCCTTGCGACTGAGCTGCAATTGGGAATGAAGCGGAGAAAACAGTCTTTCCAGTGTGTCATTTAGAGCAACCTAAACCGAGTGGCCCGCTTGACAGCCCCCTGTCTGGGATATTCCCCGACCTTCAACTCCCGGATGAGGGAAGACTAGCCGGACCCGCCCGCCAATGGAGTTGTCTCCGACGGCTGGGGTAAAGCGTCGGGGTTGCGGGCCTAAATATTCCCATCACACGGAGGTTCCCAAGATCCAGGGACCACTCCATCGGTGAACAATATGGTGACCCCGGCGGCCAGACAGACCCATATTCACCCCTTGTTTGGTGGGAATAGACTCGCACAAAGCCGCTTGTGAGATGCCGGCCCAGCCCTATAGCGCCGCTTGGCACAAACCGTTGCATATTGCTGAGAGATGAGGGCTCTGAGAAGTGAGCTGCTGCCCAGGCAGGTCGGGACGAGGCCTCCTCGTGTCACCCCACCATCATGGTGTTGAGAGGACGAAATTGCATGGCCTTAGCTTCATGGATGTCCTTTTAAGACTGGGTTCCCCCGACGCGAATCCAAATACCTTCCTTAGTCTGGTCTTTGTCTTCATTCTCTTCTGTGAATAGCTTTCCGCCGCTGTATCTGCCAGTCTTTGGTTGGCAAGACATCATGAAGGTTTCGTTCCTCTCTCTCGTCGCCGCTTTCGCGAGCGCGGCGAACGCTCAGGTCCAGGGCAAGCCCTTCGGCTTCGCTGCCGGCACCACTGGTGGTGGCTCTGCCACTCCTCAGTACCCGTCGTCTCTTGCTGAGTGAGTAACGAAGCGAATCTACTCTAGAAATTCTATATCCATGTTTCGGGGAACGATTACTGACAGCGACAAGGCTCAAGACATGGCTCACAGACAGCACGCCGCGTGTCATCATGATCAACCGCACCTGGGACTTCCGCAACACCGAGGGCACGACATCCACCCAGTGCTGCAGTGACAACCGGACCACGAAGTGTCCCGGCGGCACGTCTGCAGGCCAGGCCTGGATTCAGGATACCTGTGATGCTGCCAGTGGTACCTGGGTTTCCTGCACCTACGACAACGCGGCCCGGACCCCGATCGATGTTGGCAGCAACAAAAGTATTGTCGGTGTTGGCACTTCTGGTGTCATTATCGGCAAAGGTCTGCGTGTTCGCGGTGGAAACAGCAACGTTATTGTTCAGAATGTAGGTCCATTTGGTGCCTTCCTCAGCCTCCCCAGGCCGCACTAACACACCTAGGTTCACATCACGAACTTGAACCCCCAATACGTCTGGGGAGGTGATGCCATCACCCTCGACGGCTCCGACAGAATCTGGATCGATCACTGCAAGATTTCCCTCATCGGTCGTCAGTTCATTGTTTCAGGGTGGGGTGCTGCCGGCAAGGTCACTATCTCCAACAACGAGTTTGACGGCAAAACTACCTGGTCTGCTGGCTGCAACGGCAAGCACTACTGGGCTCTTCTTCTCATTGGAGCGAAAGATTACTATACCTTCGCTGGCAACTATTTGCACGATTTGTCCGGCAGAGCGCCCCACATGGGCACAACCAACGGTGTGACTGAGAACTACTTCCACGGAGTCGTAAGTGAGCCCTGGGGATCAAGATGAAGAACAAAGCTAATCCGGGGGCGGCAGAATAATTATATAAGCGCAGTTCAAGGTCACTCCTTTGATATCGATGGAAATACCTTTGTCTTGCTGGAGGGTAATTATTTCGACTCCGTCACCACGCCCATCACTCCCGCCAGCTCCACGAACGGAGGCCAGATCTACGTCGTCAACACCGTCGACGAGGCTTCCCGCTGCACTTCCTACCTTGGTTACATCTGTGAATGGAACCGGGCAAGCGGTTCTGGCACCGTTACTTCCCTTACTAGCACCACAGCTCTCACAAAGCTGAGCGCCTTCAAGTCCTCCCTCATCGGCCACATCGGTGTTGCCGATGTTCCCGCCAAGGTCAAGGCCAACGCCGGTGTTGGAAAGACGACTAGCACTAACTCTTAAGTTGGCTTGTTGGCGTTCGGTAACCCTGTTCCCCCGTTGGGGACTGCAAGCCCTTCAGGGGGCCCACGAGCATACTTACATTCGCTGTATATACTGGACATGTACATACACGGTCTTTGGACTTTTACAAGCTTGAAACCTACTCAATCAAACCTACGTTTTATTGGTTAACCAGGGTTCGTGTACAATTATGTTGTTGAAGAAGCATTTTCCCAGTTTCGGCATGCTGGCATCTCGGCCGAAGGGCTAGCGTTGGTTGTCTTTGTTTCAAACTACAATGATAAAGAGATTGCCTGATTTTCCTGTGTCTGCGCGGCTACATCCTGTGAACTTAAATACTCCTGTCCTAGACGATGATTGCGACGACGACGACGACGACGACGATAGCAACGACAATAATAGAAGTGAAGACGTTAAGGTAGAGTATGGCCACAGGAAAAGTAGTCAGTATAGCACAGGAGAAATAGACGGTCTCATGATAAAAGGCCAGATTCGTGCAATCCTAAGAAAGAAGAGAAGAGTACCACTGGCCCCGGGTATCCATATAAGCGCAAATCCGCTGTAATCGTTCACTTATCCAAACGCCATACACCTAGCCATCAGCTGATAGTAACAGCAATCCCAGAAGTCAAAGCCACAACTTTTATGTATACCGAACCTGAACCAATCCACTCCCGTCCACTTCATGATTCCTTGAAATCCCACTCTTGCTGTATTGACGGGTTTTGCACCGCCTTGCCCTGACCTGATAGCCATGCATGGCAAGCCTCATATCGCGGGTGGTCAATGCCACGCTTACCAGAGGCGACCATACGATCAGCGACATCCAACACGCTGCGGCCCTCAACGTCACGGGCTTGTACGTTGGCACCGTTCTGCGTCAATGTGCGCATAGCCAGCTTCTTCCCCTTGCGCACGGCAATGTGCAGCGCCGTCTCCCCAGACCGGTTGCGCGCGTTGACATTGGCCCCGGCTTGGATGAGGAACTCGAGGATTGCGACGGGTTTCTTGTAGTCGTCATCTTCGGGCAGCTGCGCAACGAAGGCCATGAGAACCGTGTTGCCGTACTTGTCGTAGTGGTTCGGGTCCACGTCAAGCTCGATGAGGTCCCTGACGACGCCTTCGCGAGCCGTGAGACGCTCTTTGGAGGAATCGGAGAGGGACTTCTGGAGGATCGGCTTGTTGTGCTTGCGCTTGCGGCTGACGGGCGATTTTTGCTCTTGTTGCTCAACGGAAACGGCACCGGGGAACTTGGCAAGCAGGGATTCTTGGCTGAGGATGGCGTCGGCGAGGCAGTGGAGACCGTTGCGGCCTTGGGAGTCTTGTACGCGGGGGTTCTTATATGATTCATTGACGGTTCGAAGAAGGCTGGCTTGCTGTTCGATGGGCGAGGAGAGTCGTCGCTGGGTGCTTGCGTCCCATGTGGGAGACATTTCTTGGCCGATGGCAGAGGTGTAGGCTCGGCGGAGGTGACCTGGGATTGCGGTTTCGGGGATGCTTCCGAATGCATCGCGACGGCAATACTCCAAAGGATCCAGCAGTGCCAGAAGAGCGTTTTTGGTGTCCTGGTTCATGATTCGCGGGTCTTTGTTGTGGATGAGGTGGCAGAAATTGCGGCCGTAGACGTCGCATGTGTACAAATCGAAGCGTTGTTGTTTGAGGAATACAATAAGCTGGTAGAGATCGTTGGCAGGCGACGAGAACCAAGAATCATTAAGAACGTGCATAAAGGTCTGTCCAGCACTGTTGACCGCCGATGGGTTGGGCGACAGCTCCTGCTTCAAGGCGTGGGAGAGATGGGTGTGAGGGGCATTGCCGGCTGCGAGTAAGTGAAGGATTGTGTTGCCAAAGGCGTCGCGGCGCGCAAAGTTGCCATCCGCAGGTCTGCCATACATGAGGACTTGCTGGGCAAAGGGTTCCGGTCCCCTGTCTGATACCCAGGCCTCTTCCGGAAGCTCATCATTCACATGGCAGTAGCAAGATCTCGTGTCATGTTCGGGTAGGCCTGGTAAGCAGGCACCCTGAGTATGAAGGCGGTAATGGAGGCTCAGGAAATCGCCGGGAAGTGGTCTGGCTTCGGTCTCGGATCTCCTTTGTGGCGCGTCGTACTCAAAAATCCACGAAGCCGGGTTCGAGTCGGCGGTGCCGGGGCGGTCGTCGTCCATCGGCGACTGGTTGAGCATCGTATTACTGGGCATCGTGTAGCGTTTCAACAACTTGTTGACCTGGCGGATGAAACCGGTCGAGTACTCGGACAAAACGTCTCCCAGGGTGTGCATGGTGCCTGAGCGGCGGAGGCCCCCGGCTTCGGGCGGCGCGACGGAGGCGTATTCGGGGGTCATGAGGGTCGGCAGCGGGCCGGGGGCGGCGGGGTTCCACCCGGCGGACGAAGCGCGGGAGTAGTCAAAGGACTGGAAATCATTCACATTCGGACTGTTGCCGGCCTCGACTTTGAATTCTGGGTTAACGCTCAAGTGCGATCTGGAGCCGGAGGAGGCGGAGCGCGTGTAGTCTGGCGAAAAAGCATCCTCTGGGGGCGCTTGGCGTGTGGGGGAACTATCGAGGGCACCAATGCGACGGTCCATATCGGTTCGGGTTCGGGGGTGAAGCCATCGTGGTTCTTTGTCGAGAATCGCATTCAATTTCTTGTTGGCAGAATCCTTTCTGATAGCTCAGATGTCAGCATAAGCGCCGGCGCAATAGCAATGTCAGCGCGCATACCCTGGGCAGTCCCGGTTCCCTGGGGTCGCTTTGTGGACGACTTCTACAATCTTGACCAGAGGAAGAGTAGTATAAACGTATAATCTAGCCAGCTTGCGCTCGGCCGACTCGGTCCACAACGAAGGGCGACCGGTCTGAGTGGCGTGGGAACTGGAGGGAGACTCCGACATTGCGCTCTGGTTTGAGGCCGGCGGCCACAGCCTTGTGGTGTTGGACAGTGTAAAGCGTGTAAGTGAGCGTCTGAGGGTAAATCAACCGGATGGACGTTGAGATTCGCTTCGGATCAAGAGCCAAGGGAAAGATTGAAGCAAAAGGCTCAGGAAATGGACAGATACATGACGGGCGAACAAGAGCGTTCGAAATGGACTTCTGCGATGGGAAGTGAGGGGGGATGACCAGGCTATTCAATGGAGCTGAACTTTGGCGCGCGCCGCCGTGGCGCCGTGGTGCGAGAGGAGGGATGGGCGGCTCAGGCTGGAGAAGACGGGAGCCGGCACGGCGCAAGGATGGAACACAGCTAGAGCCTAGAGATGCAGCCCAGGAAGCTCGCCAACAACGATAAGACTGACTGGCTGGCCCCCAGAGATGACCGGGGTCTGCAGTTGCACAGCACTTGGAGCCTGGAGGGGAGGTCTCGAAGGTGGTCTGGCGGAGTCGGGTGCTCCAATGACTTCTCCGTGTCTCCCAAGTGGAAGAATGATGGTGGTGCCGCCGGTAGGCTGGGTTGCAGGGGACGGGGGCTCAGCTGTGTGCCTTGGAGCAGCCAGACTTGACTACTCTGGGCAATACGGGTGAGATATTGACGGGGTTTGACGAGCATGAGGTCGTGACTTCAAGACCACTTATCGCAGCCATGGCACACGGAACAAGGGAGCGGCTAGAACAAGCTCGCCGAAGGATTGCAGAAGGCTAGGAAGCGGCTCCCGCTGATGGTATTCGCGCGTGAAGAAGCTCCCTCACGTGCGCTCGAAGCAGCAGCATGTCCGATGAAGCCATCCGCGTAGCGAAGCAACCGCCGGCAGAGCGTGATTGATGATTGCTCTTTGATGTGTTCAGCTCAAGGCACCAGCATTCGGCCATCCTTGCCCGCGTCCACAATTCAAGGCATCAGCAACAACCCCTCGTCAGGACGACATCGGTAATTTGGACATCGGTTACAGTCGAAAGAGCGAGGACGGTCTTTGTTTCCCCTGGGGCAGACTCGATTGCAAGAAATGACTTCATCCTGGACGCCGTACAACGAACAATGAGCGGGAGGTCTGCCGTTTGGGCCGCAGTAGAATCGAGATGGGCGCAGCTTGTCTGCTGTCACTCGGGAGAGTGCGAGAATGATGCATGAGTGGAAGAACACAGAAAACAGCCCTGTCAGGCAGAGTCGAAGGAGGGGAATCGCTGTGTGGCAGTGTCCCCCAAAGGCCTCCGGGCGCACCGTGCAAGCAGTTCAGTTGAAGGGACATGAACTGGGGGGGAGGAATGACGTGCTGTGCCGTGCTGTTCGTTCTCGATTGTGCTGGGCCAGACCGAGAGATACGTATCCGTCTTACCCTGACCCATGTCTGTCTGCATCTCCATCTGAGATGATTAAGCTCATGTTGGATTTTGAAGCAAACAACGACAATAGATTGTCCCTTTTGGATATTACAAAGAGCTGCGTTGTTTTATCAGACAGAATTCATTCTCTTTAGTCTTCTTGTTCGATTCAATAGCGTTGTTGACACGTCAGTCTTCACCAAGTCGGCCTCAGACAAGGGTATTTTCCACTTCTCGTGTAGCCAACACAGACATTGATCAACCAAGCCCCTTCGTGATCTTGTGAATTTCAATGCCCAATATCAACTTGGTTGACAAAGAATATGAGTTGTTGGCCTCAACTACTTGATGGGACGGCAAACTATCCCGAGGATGTCAACAGGGAAGAGAATTTCACCCAGAAGAAGCGGAAGAGACTAACCATGCCCTGCCTCTTGTGACATGCCTGCCTTTCTGCCCCTCAATCCTTCCGCTGCACCGCCAGCCACAGCCACTGGTTCTGCATTTTCGTTTCATCAACTTGGAAGACATCTTGAGTTTGGCAGAGAGAGCACTCATATCCCATGGTTGGCGGCCTCGGGCAGCCATTTCACACCTTGGTAGTGAAAAGATTTCCATCATCTCAGCCACACCCTCCCTTCCCTTGCCTTGATCCATCCCCGTCATGAACCTCTGCATCACTGGTAGCCGCTGGATGCCTCCCCGCTGCTTGTGCCTCCGGTTCGGTTCCCCTCCCTGCACCCATCCGAGCCAACACGCATGTTGGCTAATAATTCCCAGTTCCAACGTGTTGGCCAGGGCCAGGGCATGGGGATGGCCCGCCTCTAGGGGCAGGACATCGTCAGATTCAGTGGCAACACCTGCTCCCCATTGAGGATGCGAAGCATCCAAAGCCAAGCCAAGAACGGTTTCGAGGCCAAGCTTTCACCCGTTGAACCCCTTGACCGCCCTTGAACGATCGTCTAGCGCAGAATCTCCTTCGACTCTTCTTCGACTTCACAAGCGATCTAACAGGATCCTCTCGTCCGCATTCCCGTCCCGCTCCGGCGCTAGGTCGCGCCCTGATGCTCCCGCCCGTTTAACCCCGGTCGTCCATCTCTCTTCCCATTCCATATCACCTTCGAATATTCTATGCCACCGCCACAATTAATGGGGCAGAAGCCAATACCCTCTCGTGCGCAGATTCGCGGGCGGCGTTTGTTTCATATCTTGCTCACAATCGTCAATTTCCAGGTGAGGTGGCGAATATCGCATCACATCCAAGCTCCAACGCGCGAGTGCGCGCTCCTGTCTTCAGGGATTCGCTCCCCGTGACTTAGCCACGTCTTTTTACAATTGATGTTGTTTTCGCTCAACAGCGCATTTCCATATCGTCTTTCTCCCATATTTGTTAATCGTCTGCATTCTTTAGAGTCCAGAAGAGAAGATCTGATGGCCCGGGGCCCCAATTTTGTTCCTAACTCCAACGCGCTAGCTGGTCAAGTGACAGCAAGTTGACCATGATACTGGACGCCGCCACACAGCTTCTGTCTGCGTAAATCGCACACGCGATATTTCAATTTCATGTTCCTAAGCGCCGCCATTGAATCCTAACCCCACAATTGCGATGATTCAACATAGGTTGGGAATTCGCAACGGAGTTGTCAGATACTGGTAATTGTATTTGTTTTTTTCTATTTTGTCGAACTGCCTACCCTTCTCTCCTTCATCATGTCCAGGTGAGTATAAGACCCACGATTAGTCGGCCTTGAATCTCAGACCTCACCAACACACCCATCACCACGATAATTACCCCTGCTCTCAGCGACCCAAACTAGACCGCACCAACATCAATCCACATACCCTACCACTCCACCTCTCATAATCATGTCAGGATCCAAGTACGGCGCTTCTTCTTCTAGGTAGGCAACCACGTCACACCCTCAAACGGGCCGTCCCTTTCTGACATCGACTAGACACCAGCAGTCATCGTACAGCGTGTCTTCCAACACTGGAGGGCGCACATCGAGCAGCTCATCCAGTCAGACACGGTACACCTCCTACGCTTCATCGTCCAGCACCTCGGACAGATTTTACGCCACTGGGCAGCCTACCGGCAGATCATCTCAGTCAATGGCCGTCCAGATGGCTGCGTGGGACCGACAGTGGAGCAGTGCCAGCAGTGGTGGTCGTCGTTGATGAACAGCATATGCACCTGAGTTTGCAGCCTCAGACGTGCAACCCACCTTGTATTATATTTCTTTCCTTGACGCGTACATAGTCGGCCGATACCCCAATGGAATACTTTTGTGAGAGCTGTTTCTCGTGAGACTTATGTGTGCAGGATAGCTGAATCTTGTTGTTGGTTTGGTTCTGCCTGGGTTCAGCTGTGTGAGTCGTCAAGATCTGAGAGCTCTAAGTAAATGAAGGAATCAGAAACAGCAACGCATGGGGTCTGCTGTCTTGAACGAGGTACTATTCTCCTTGTCACTATGAGTCTCACCGCCATAGTCAACTTAATCACGGCTGGCTGGAAGCAAGTTAAGATGGCAACTGAACAGACAGGTTCCACGGTACAAGAGATGACATCAAGTCGATCGCGGGGCGGGCCATTCTTGACAGAAACTCCACTGCCGGCCTTGCATGTTGATGGCAATGCGAGATTACCGAGTCGATCGCAGGCCGGTAGTCATCCCATCGGCTTTAAAGTCTGACGTGGGAACTGGACGATTCTGGCCGGCTGCATGATATAGCTATATGCGCAAGCAACTCCATAATCGTCAGCATGAGAGGGCGAGAAGGTTCAAAGCTAGCGTTTCGCTCGAATTCCGACCTGTCATCCGGAGATCATACGTATTTGAGACGACGATGCGCGCACCTGGCTTTTTCTGCCCGTCGGCCGATCACTCGAGCAGATCTTGGAATAGCTTCAGACGCAGATGACACCAAGTGGCCTCCCAACACAGGCCAAGATCGACTGAGCAGGCCACACCATGGACCGGCCGTGTCGGTGGCACGTCGAGTTCATTATGCCCATTGACGACAAAGAAACAATCTCGAGAGCCCCGCACCTTATTCCGGTTGACATCCGACCGGGGAGGGTCGTATATGTAGGGCTGCTTCTTGGACCAGAACAAACCAATAGCGCGCGAGTGAGGACAAACGGAAGTGAAACCAGGCCCTTCGTTCTGGGTCTTAATCGCCTGGTTCCCAACCGGGACCTCCCGTAGTCGGAAGACTAGTCCCGGCAGTTGCAATCCTCATGTCTGTGTGAGCCTCGATAGCTTGGCGCGGCTGAAACTGTCATCCGCAACAGAATTGGGACGGAGGATGTAATGAGCGGAGGATGTGGAGG